ATTTAAATTTTTAACAGCTCTAAAAGAAAAAAAAATGCTGACTATGGAAGCACATAAAGCATTTTAATAAGGTTCCTTCTACAGATAGTATTATCTGTACAAACCAGGAAAGCTAAAGCTTTTTATACATTTGAAAATTTGCATTTTAACCTCTCCTCACTATACAGTACTGTATCTCCAAGTCTGGACTACAAACTGCATTTCTGTAATTTTAATGAGGCAAAATTTTCTGCCCACATGAGGGTATTATGTCAGCAAAAATCCAAATTGTGTGCACAAAAAAAGGTAACTACCAACATGCACGTGCATTGGCTCACTTTGTAGGTAGATTAAGGCAGGAACTTCCACCACTATAGTTAGCATCCAAATCTGAATTTGGGAATACTGAGCTACAGGGATCTCTTACAGTCATCATGATAGCTAGAGCACACATATTGGTGTCTATCTATAGGAAGTATGTTCAGAGTGGTTTGCACTTGGAAGAGCCATTCTCTAACTTCCCAAGACTCCCAACAACTTCACAGTTAAATGAGGTAGTCTGGGATGAAAGAGTCAAGGGAAGGCATCAATAAAGAGTTTAGTGGGGCCTAACCTGTGGACTTGCCTAATTTTAGTGAATCCCACATACAAATAGTTCTCTGTCCATAATGAAGGGGCCAGTTGTGGACACAACACATGTTGGCTTTGCTGAGAGTTGTGTGCAACTGATGAAGTAATTGGGCCCTGGGTTCTTCTGGAGGAATTTGCCAATCACACATTTCACAGGTAGAGCAACAGATCTATTCTGTGCATCCTCAGTGGACCTGTATATATAAAATACCCTCTCTTGTTTTCCTGTGAGAACATAGTGCTTGTCTTTATTACAGGGGTAAGTTAGCTGAAATTGCGTAATTTAGGGTATGTGAATAATTTAGTTGGACTCGTAGCTTAGGTCAACTTGCTGTAGTGTATACATTATGCTGGGTCAATGAGAAACACTTTCCTGTCAATTTACCCTACTCTTCACATTCTGTTGGAGTACCAGAGTAGATGGCATAGCGATCTTCAGTTGATTTACTGTGTCTAGACCTGCTAAATCAACTTCAGGTGCATCAGTTGCCTCAGCACCAATGCCCACTAAGTATGGACATGCCCTAACTTTCACAGAAATATCCTGGTAAAATAATGCAGGATTTTGGCATACATCTATTAAAATATTATTTATTATTGTATAAATAAATAAATCTCAATATTTATGATCAGGGCTCGACAAATTAGTCAATCTACTTGCCTGGGGCGAGTAGATTTTAAGCCAGCATAGTGCCGCAGCACGATCAGTGCATGCGCAGCGTGCCAAACTGTGCGGCTGGCGAGTGGTCGCCACTGCTTGTCAAGCCCTGATTATAATATACAATAACCTTTACTGGTTTCAAGGAATCATTCTGCTACATATTTTAGGACCAGTATTATGTAATTCAGCATAACTTTCTAAAAAACATAATAAATCAATTTATTGAAAAAATACAACCCACATACAATTTTCTGATGTTTGCCTATGGCCTGAATATAATTCGTGTCAATATACCCAATAGTTGAGTTCTAAGATTATGAGTTATCTGCATCTGGTGTCCTCTATTCCTATGTTCTAGCCTCTAACAGTCTAATTTTGTATTCAGACAAGGAATTTCTTGGGAAGCAGATTCTGAAAGAGATTTGAGCTCCCAGTATGAGTCTAAAAGGGCTAACTAGAGACTTGGATACATAACAAAGGAAATATCAAATGGGAGTATAGAGATTATATTCCTTCCACAGGTCATACCTCTCTTAACCGGGACTCCCTGGTCTAGCAACATCCATGATGCGGGATGGCCCACAGATGTTCCTGGACCACAGAGCCCAGGAACAGGGAGGTTTGGTGGCGGGGCAGGAGCACCGTAGGACTGCAGTGACTCATCCTGGAGTCCCGTGTATGTGTGTGGGGAGGTTGGGTGGCATGGCAGGGAGTTCTGGCCCCAGTGGCCACGGACCTCTCTAGCCTGGCAGTGGCTGTGAAGCTCTGACCCCAGTGGCAGCCAGGGAACTCTGGCCCCAGTTCTCAGCTCCACTGGCAGGGAGGCCTGGCCCAGGCAGTGGAGCTCCAGCCCGATCCCTCTGCCCAAGCCACAGTTCAGACCATGGTGCTCTGGCCCCCGCAGTAGTGTGCCATGAGGGGAGGAACCTTTCCTGGTCTGGCAAATCCACTCATTTGGGACTAGTCAGATCCTGAGGGTGCTGGACCAGCGAGATCCAACCTGTAGGCTGTGGCTACACTAGCATGAATTTCCGGAAATGCTTAAAACGGAATACTATTCCGTTTTCAGTTTTTCCGGAAAAGGAGCGTCTACATTGGCAGGGGGGGGGTG